TCACTAAGCCTTTCTGTCATCTTTTCTTTGATTTATGGCCTCACCGATCACCAGGGCCAGAAGCCTGCCAGCCTCTCACTTGTCACTCACTGCTCTTCTTTCGCACACATCAAGGGATGTCTGTCACCAAATAGCAATAACCAGCATAGTACACGCTGTCTAGATCAACTAAGTTAGGTCTTTCCATAGTTCTATGGTGCTGATAATCCTACCTCCATGCCTATCTTAACAACGAGTGTTCAAAAAGTGAATTATCCTTGTTGGATAGGTAGGAAGATCGGGAGCTGGACAGGCTATATCCAATCAGTGTGTTTAACGCTGCTTTCGAATGCTTTTTCTTAGACCACAGGAGCCTTTTCAGAGTTCTTAACTCTCTGCTCTTTCCTTGATGGTTGGGGCCGTGCACTGTGTACAAAAGAGAAATCCAGATGAGCACCAGCATCCATCTCTCTCACTGCATCTTGACCATGGAGACAATGCAGCCAGCTGCCTCGCATTCCACTATGTCTTCCCTGCCACGATGGACTGACTGCATCTTCACACCGAGAGCTAGGTCTTAGACAGGTAGGTGCCTGTGCATTCTTCTAGCATTCCTACAGTTTCTCATCTCTCACATCCAGCCTCAAATCAGTCCTTGAGTCACAGAGTTAGATTCCAATCTGGTTCTCCTATTTAGAACCAAGTGTTTCCTTACTCTAAACTTGCCACGTTTGGTGTTGCTGACAATAGTACACGCTTTTGATACTTACTGACCTTGGTCACAGAAACTTTCCTTTAGTTGAAGACTGAATAGGGAGTACAGGATACAAAAGATGGAACCTGGCCATCTCAGACTGTAGCAGGTTTGTGAAAAGTTAGCCTCCATGTTTGTAGTGGTCTGATGATGAACTCTGTCGTGTTGACTTGAAAGCAGGGTAGAAAGGGCTTACGAAAGCCGGGTCCCGATCCCAGTTAACTAGGAGAAGCAGTCACCAGGGCCTAAGGGGAGTGACTGACAGCCTGAGTTGCTAAAGACTGTGGAGGTGGGCTAGGGAGGGATTCCCAACAGTGGCCCATGGCTTAGTGTTTCTCAATTCTAACCCCACTTGCTCATGACTCATTTCCTTTTCCTGGATGACAGGTCTTTCTCTCTTGCTTTATAATCCTTAAGTTTTGCTACCTTCAAAAACTTCTTTTGGTTGAGTATTTATCATATTTACTAAAACTAGCTGTACTGTGCATGACTTTCCCAAAAGAAGTTTTCATCTAAGAGAGCAATGTTTCTCTAAGGGTAGTCTTCACACTTTGATGGGATCACATCTATCTTTATGGTTATGCTGTGACCATGGTTTTTATTTATTTATGTATTTGTTCAGTTTTTCCTATGTAGACATTAACACTGATGGACAAAATGATCCAGCCTTACCGCAAAGCTAGCAAAGCCCGCAAGAAACCTGTAAAGAAAAACAAAAGCCATTTCCACTTAAGAACGTCCTTGACAGAGGCTGCAGGAATGGCTTACTAGTTATAGACACTTGTTGCTCTTGCAGAGGACCTGGGTTCAGTTCCCAGGTCTCACATGGTAGTTTACAAGCATTGGTAACTCCACTTCCAGGGGATCTGATGCCCATTTCTGACCTAGAGGGCACCGGGCGTGCACATGGTGCACATACATACACGCAGGTGAAAATCCATACACATGAAATAAAATGAATAAACCTAACATCAAAAGAATGTCCTTGATAGGCCAGTAAAAACTGTGGTTGTTATAGCCTGACACTTGGATACAGAGTTTTAAAAATTATATCCTGTGGGCAAAATGGGAAGTATGCATTGGACCTTCTGCTATAGAAGGAGGCGGGTGTCTTGCTGAAGTGCTGATGCCTGGGTTACAAGCCGATCACAATATAGGTAAACTTGGCTGTTCTAGAAAATGAACAAGATGTGCTTGTCAATCTGAGAACAACTGTCAGCATTTGTTGCTAATGATACAACTCAAGCTCTCAAGAGGACAAAAGATAGAGCTTTGAGAAACTTCTGCCACAATGATCTACTTTTCCAACCACTAAAGATTTTCGTGATTAAATAAAAAAAGTGATATAAACGATTTAGGCTTTTGGTATTGTATAGTGTATTGGTATTGTGTAGTGTACTGGTATTGTGGTAGTGGTATTGGTATTGTGTAGTGTATTGGTATTGTGTAGTGGTATTGGTATTGTGTAGTGTATTAGTATTGTGTAGTGTATTGGTATTGTGTAGTGTATTGGTATTGTGTAGTGTATTGGTATTGTGTAGTGTATTGGTATTGTGTAGTGTATTGGTATTGTGTAGTGTATTGGTATTGTGTAGTGGTATTGGTGTTGTGTAGTGTATTGGTATTGTATAGTGGTATTAGTATTGTGTAGTGTATTGGTATTGTGTAGTGTATTGGTATTGTGTAGTGTATTGGTAGTGTATTGGTATTGTGTAGTGTATTGGTATTGTGTAGTGGTATTGGTGTTGTGTAGTGTATTGGTATTGTATAGTGGTATTGGTATTGTGTAGTGTATTGGTATTGTGTAGTGTATTGGTATTGTGCAGTGTATTGGTATTGTGTAGTGTATTGGTATTGTGTAGTGTATTGGTATTGTGTAGTGTATTGGTAGTGTATTGGTATTGTGTAGTGTATTGGTATGTGGTAGTGGTATTGGTGTTGTGTAGTGTATTGGTATTGTGTAGTGTATTGGTATTGTGTAGTGTATTGGTATTGTGTAGTGTATTGGTATGTGGTAGTGGTAGTGGTGTTGTGTAGTGTATTGGTATTGTGTAGTGGTATTGGTATTGTGTAGTGTATTGGTATTGTGTAGTGTATTGGTATTGTGTAGTGTATTGGTATTGTGTAGTGTATTGGTATTGTGTAGTGTATTGGTATTGTGTAGTGGTATTGGTATTGTGTAGTGGTATTGGTATTGTGTAGTGTATTGGTATGTGGTAGTGGTATTGGTGTTGTGTAGTGTATTGGTATTGTGTAGTGTATTGGTATGTGGTAGTGGTAGTGGTGTTGTGTAGTGTATTGGTATTGTGTAGTGTATTGGTATTGTGTAGTGGTATTGGTATTGTGTAGTGTATTGGTATTGTGTAGTGTATTGGTATTGTGTAGTGTATTGGTATTGTGTAGTGTATTGGTATGTGGTAGTGGTATTGGTGTTGTGTAGTGTATTGGTATTGTGTAGTGTATTGGTATTGTGTAGTGTATTGGTATTGTGTAGTGTATTGGTATTGTGTAGTGTATTGGTATTGTGTAGTGTATTGGTATTGTGTAGTGTATTGGTATTGTGTAGTGGTATTGGTATTGTGTAGTGTATTGGTATTGTGTAGTGTATTGGTATTGTGTAGTGTATTGGTATGTGGTAGTGGTATTGGTGTTGTGTAGTGGTATTGTTATGTAGAGTGTCAACACTGGAAACTCTGTGGAGCCCAGTGAGTCAATACTTTCCAAATGACCGATGCCTCCTCGTGTTCACAATTGTCCCTGGATAAGAGATTCATTAAAAGAGTAAGAGGAACAACAGATATTATTGTAGCCAAGTGGGAAAGCATCACTAACTCAGAGACAGGTCACCAGTGACACATGATCCCTGTGGAAGTGTCCATCAGAGAACTAGGCAGAGAGAAATGCACAACAAAAGTGCTACTTAAGAAGATGGACAAACCCCAAGCTTCATAGCTACTACAAGGAGCAGCGCCTCACCTTTGAACATGTATCAGACTCTTTGAACTTGTATCATAATTTGTAAGCAAGCTAATACTTCTTCCCAAGGAGCATAATTCTGAATCAAGACATGGAAAAAAAGATTCTTAAAAACACACATTTATTCTAGCTGTGTACCTGGTACATGCCTTTAATCCCAGCACTCAGGAGGCAGAGGCAGAGGTGGAGGCAGGACAAACTCTATGAGGTTGATGTCGGTTTGGTCCATATAGCAAGCTTCAGGCCAGCCAAATCTACACAGAGAGAACTTACCTCAAAGAAATAAAAACAGTAACACAACAACAAATTTATTCGTGTGTGTGTGTGTGTGTGTGTGTGTGTGTGTGTGTGTGTGTGTGTGTGTAGGTGAGAGGACATCTTTCAGAAGTAGGTGGGTCTCTCCTTCCACAATGAGGATCCTAGGGGTCAAATTGAGGTCATCGAGATTTGCTGCAAGCCTTCCCCTACTGAGCCCTCTCATTGGCCCTCAACCTTAGGGTTTCTTAAGCAATGAAGCTTAACTTTGCCCTTGCTGTTAACAGCTCTTTTCTGGGAAGCCTGCTTGCTTTACCCTTCCGTTTTGGTCTAGTTCTTCCCCTCTCCCCTGCTGTCCCTACCCCTCCCCTTTCCCACTTCCCTCCCTTATAGGAGCCCACAGACTCAATGCAGCATCATTAAAAATCTGCCTCGTGTAAAGTCACTTTTAAGAGAGAGGGAGGGACTTCGGAGGGAGCTCTAGAATTTCCCCAAGTCTTCCCAGTATCCTGGGAGTCTATATTTGGAAGCACAGCAGAGGCCAAACCTCAGGGTCCCCAGGATGTTCTCATCTGAAATTCTGAGAGTGGTGGACAGGAAAGGGCTTCGGAGTCCACTGAAGCTAACTCTCTAAATCTTACAGAGGAAACTGAGGCCCAGTGATGCCGACTGAGGATGGGCAAGCCTAGGGAGCCAGGAACCACCAGACCCACCCACGGCCTCCATCTCAGAGGGCCCTGCTGGGGAGGGAGGAGGCCGGGTGGTGAGAGTGAGGAAGAGGGGCTGGGCGAAGGAAAGGAAGGAGGGCTGAAGTGGGAGTGGAAGAGGCAGCCTCCCTGGGGCTGATTGGCTCCCGAGGCCAGTCCTCTCCACGAGGTTTATAAGAGTTAGGGCTGCCTTTGGTACCCTGCCCTCTCTCCCGCGCCTGGGAGAGTCACTGTCAGGACCTCGGTGAACTGGTGCTTAGCGGGGCAGGAGACCAAGGAGGGGCCAGAGCGATCGCGGAGCAGGGCGCCCGAGCAAGGGGCGCCGCGCCATGCGCCGGGCCAGCCGAGACTACGGCAAGTACCTGCGCGGCTCGGAGGAGATGGGCGGCGGCCCCGGGGCCCCGCACGAGGGTCCGCTGCACCCCGCGCCTGCAGCGCCCGCCGCGCCGCCGCCCCCCGCGGCCTCCCGCTTCATGTTCCTGGCCCTCCTGGGGCTGGGGCTGGGCCAGGTGGTCTGCAGTGTCGCTCTGTTCCTCTACTTCCGAGCGCAGGTGAGTGGCTGCCTTCCCCCGCCCGATTCTCTGCCGGGGGGGAAACTGAGTCTGGCCCTCGGTCGGGCTGGACTCCTGGGATCTTACCTATTCTGGAAGGGAAAGCGACCCTCCAAGGAAGGGAACTTGGGGTCCTCCAGCCAGGTTCACCCGCGCCTTCTCCCCGCAGCGCCGTGCGCAGAAGTTGAGCTACTCTGGTCCTGGTAGAGGTTGGGTTTGAATTTCCCCCCTAGAAGCAGCATTGGCCGCTCCCCTCTTGTGCAAGTGATCTCACACTTTCTCCTCACCTTGCGTTTCCCACTCACAGTTAAGAACCAACTTTAACCCATTTAGGGGAAAAGTGAGAGCTTTTCCAATGTCGCTAACTAACCTGTGGTTGCCTGGCTTTCCTGGCACGCTGGGACCACAGTGAGAGGGTGTCAGTAGTCGTTGGAGCACCTGGGGGTGACACTCATGTCTCCAGATTCTCAGAGTGACAGAGCTACCAAATATTCTGGGTCCCAGGGTTGGGGCTCTGCGGCTTCTCTGGAGCTCAGGCTCTGAGGGGGTGAAGGGACAGCCCCACTGTGCCTGCCTGTGAGGTGCTCGGAGGAAGGAAGATGCGTGTGTGTGTGTGTGTGTGTGTGTGTGTGTGTGTGTGTGTTAGTACAGCCTGACTACAATCTAGCCAGTAACCAGTCTTTGAAGAGAGGAAGAAGCTCCACGCTAAGGACTCAGAACCGCGGGGAGATGGAAGAGAGGAAGGGGTAAATTTGTAATATTATGCTTTCTGGTGGTTTGCGCTCTTGTGTTTTCTTGGAAATTGCTGTGCAGTTGGTTGGATTCATTCAAATAATCTTGCCTGCTGCTGTGAACTCTTTCTCAGAGGAAGTGGGGGGCTGACGGTGCATATTTTTATGGGAAAAGAAAGTAGGGTTTGGACTTCGTTTGTTTCCAGAATCAAAGGTGATTACCAATCCAAACTGGATGCGCTAAAATGTGCCGTTGTTTGGACTGCATGGATTTTTGACACGTGCCAAAGTCTTGAACTGCCCTTTGGAACATAGGCTTTGTTAAGTATTCAGATCTACTGGTTTGCAGTTTATACCACTGCTGTGGTTACCCACTAATGCAAAAATAGAAAGACCATACACCAGTACTTCTGCAAACCCATGTTAATAATCACACTTGTTACCTGTTGAGATTTTCTTCCTCAGACAAGGTTTGGGTGGTTTGATTGGGATATGAATCACATAAATCCTTATGAAAGTGAGTAAACAAACATTTCCTCCCCCTTCATTGGGGTACAAGGATCAATGAAGAGTGACATATCTGTTGTTTTCTACCATCTGGCGTTTTAATGCATGTGTATGAAGAGCCTGAATAGTGTGTGGCACTATTAAACGCTATGGGATAGACTGTATGTGCAGTCCCTATGACCCTATGTGTGTGGTGCCAAGGGATAGAGCATGCTTCCAATAAGCATATTATAACAGCTATTATAATTCTTTGCAAAGTGATTTTAGGCCTGAAGATGCAGTAGTTCCCAGTGTCTTTTTTTTTTTGCCCCAGAAAGAAGTGTGGAGTGAACATGTTCTAGGGACCCTTAGTTTGCCAGGAACCCTGGGACTTGGCATGGCTGTGGAGGAAGGAATTCTATGGCAGTGGGGTGGCCTAAGATGTCTGTCACCCTAGTGATATGGTCACCTTCTATCACACAATAGTGTTGATGGCACAAGAATAATAAAACAACCTTTTCCAGAAGTAAACACATGAGATAGCAGCTAAGCCAGATGATTTTCCTTTGGAGAATTTAAGAGCATCAGGTTTCTGGGTACATTTTTTTCCTCTGTTTTTTTTCTTCCATCTCTCTTTCTCCCCTCCCCCCTCCCCCTCCCTCCCTCTCTCCCTCCCTTCCTAGCTAGAATCTTGTGTAGCCCAGGCTGATCTCAAAGTTGTCATGTAGCCAAGGACATTACACCTCCCAAGAGCTAGGGTTGCAGGTGTGCACCCACCATGCCCCGTTCATGTGGTGTGGTGCCAGGGATTAAAGGCACAGAGCTTCATGTGCATTAGGCAAACACTCCAGTAAGTGCCCCATACCTCTAGTCCCCAGTCGCTACAAAGATCCAGTCTCTCTAAGACTTAAAATATTTTAGTCATTATTCTGAGCCCAGGTCTATAACTATATCTTAAAAAGGTTTCCCCGTCACTAGAGTAGTTGTATTAGAAAAACCATTTTTATTTGAGTATTCTGATTGCATCTCACTGAGTGTGGTATCCATACTTGATACCCAGGGAAATCCTAATCACTTAAGAGATACATTCAGAAACTCTTATACATGATGTGAAATGCTGTGATGTCTGGAAATGTTTCAAATTAGTTGATAGAATAATTGATAGAATAACTGATAGAAATCTGTGCAGGTGTAGGGAGCTCACAGCTTAAATGTGAGGCATGGTTTCTAACCATTTGTGAATAATTGTTGAAGGTGGGCTTTGGGTACACAAGGGCTCAATCTACAATTCTTTTCACTTTTATATATTTTGAAAACGTTTTATACTTTTAGGTATTGATGCCAAGTAATGGATAGTTTTATTTTTTAAGTTGTATTAAGTTTTTAAGTTCTGGGTGAAATATTTGGAGTTTCTGAATGCATTTGGGTGAAAATGAAATGATCTGGTATCAGAGAACACCTTTACAATTTAAGGTAATACAAGCCAGATTTATATTTATTATAGTTTAAAGACAGCAATCAGAAACAATATCAATTCTCTGCAGCGTGAGGATTGGAAGTTCAAGGCCAGTCTAGACTCAAAACAAAACAAAATTAAAAATAAAACCCAAACCAAATCTACTCATGTTTAAATAATTAACAGTGAAAGGGCACCTCGTGTTTTTCTGATTGCCCTTGCCTATGCCTACATTTTGAAAAGACCTAGCTCCGGGTAGACCGCCTTTCTCCCACCAGGCCTGCCAAAGGGCAAAGGGCATGTGGCTTGTGCTGTGTCTTCACCACATACTTTGGTTTGCAAAGAAAAAAAGCCTTTCTAAAATGCTACTTGTAAAGTTGTGTGTGTATATGTGTGGTGTGTGTACTGTGTGAGTAGTGTGTATGTGGTGTGTGTGTGTGTGTGTGCAGTATGTGTGGTGTGCATATGTGGTGTGTGTGTAGTGTGTGTGTATGGTATGTGGTATGTGTGTGTAGTGTGTGTGTGTGTGTGTGTGTGTGTGTGTGTGTTTGTGTGTGGTGTGTGTGTGTATGTGGTATATGTGTTTGTGGTATGTGTGTGTGCTGTGTGTGTATGGTATATGTGCGGTGTGTATGTGGTGTGTGTGTGTGTGTGTGTGTGTGTGTGTGTGGTATATGTGTGTCATGTGTGTGGTGTATGTATGTGTTTGGTGTGGGGTGTGTATGTGCGATGTGTATGTGTGGTATGTGTGGGGTGTGTATGTGTGTATATGTGTGGTGTGTGTGGCCATACTCATGCTGAGAGTTTATCTAAAAGGGAAGACTTCAGAAGACTGGAGCTGTTTTTGTTTTTACACTCCGCTCTCACTTTCCCTGTCCACATGGCAGCCTTCCTGGCTGCTCTTCACCCAGGACAGCAGTCATGACTGCACATCTGATGTGAGGTGGGCAGGCAGCTTGTCTGAAAAACCGATAAGGAAGCAGCCCAAATGTCAAGCATCCTGCCTCATTTAACCCTACGAAAGGATGATCGGTTTCAAGGAAGTTCACCAAGAAAAAAAAAAGCTCATTTCCTCGCCACAGCACATCTGATCATCTGATAGGTGCATTTTCAAAGTGCCCTGTGTGTATGCGTGTGTGTGTGTGTGTGTGTGTGTGTGTGTGTGTGTGTGTGTGTTACTGGGGATGGAACCCAGGGCCCCCAGTGTATGCTTGCTTTCCCAGCTCTAACCACCCATTTAAAATCAGGTCCGTGTTAGTGTTTGCAGGCACACATGTAGGTGTGACTCACTGTGACTCAGTTTGCTGTGCTCATGAAGACCGGGTGCTTGTTTGTTCAGAATCCTACCCCTACTCCCACCCGCCCAGCGTCTAACTCGGAACCTGACGTACTCAATTGACTGAAAGGGCCTTTCAAATCATCGGCCGTCCTACACATCTTTCCATCTCTAATTTACTGTTATGCAAATATCTAGTAGGTAAAATGGTATTTTCACCCATGCAAATCCTCTCTCCAGACTGCTGTGCACCCCAAAATACGCTGTTGGGTGGGAGCTACATATATTTGGTCACTCTGAGCACTCTTGCAGTTTACCCCAAAAATTTTACTCCGGACCTGCTTTCCTTGACCCTCGCTCACCTGTGCGTTTGGTCCTGTTCCTCTCTAGCTTCTTCCCTTTCTTTCGCCTGGGCACCTGAAGGAGAGATCATGTCTGGTTACAGTTACAAAGTGGATTTCTAACTTGTCATCTTTAAGGAAGCAAACAAGCGGACAATTCAAAGTTAACTTTGCCATGTAATCCTGACTTTTTTTTTTTTTTTTGTCACAGTAATTGATAAGGTTTGGAGATGTGAGTAGTGGTTCTCAAGGGCATTTTTGAAGTATTTGAAGAAAGAGTCAGCAATTGAATTTAACTTAGGCATGTGATAAAATTGGCTGAGGGGTCCAAGTGAGGTCTGGCCACTGGCATTTTTTCTTTCTTTTCTTTTCTTTTTGGAAGAGAGAAAGTCAGTCTTTGCATGCCACTTTTTTTTTATTTGTTCCAAGCCATGAACTGTTATTAACTGATGCAATATTGTGCTAATTACTGAATCTTGGCCAGGGGGCATTTCAATAGCAGAAGAGCTGTATGAACTTGTGTATTCGACACTTTAAGGCATCACTTGTTGGAGTTTAATACGGAGAAGATAACCTTGGGTTCAGTTAAAAGGCGGCTAGCTCCCTGTGAGTCTATGCTGGTGATTAGCCACAGCCTGAGTCTTGACAGTGCTGGGGCCTGCAGCTTCTGTAGGAAGGCCTTTGATTGCTTTGTAGGACGCAAGCTTAAGGAGCTTTGCTTAGGGTATCCAGGCATTTCTTAACGCCACATGGTCCCTTCAGTTCAGCTCTTGTCTGGTAGGAAGCCATTGCAAATTCTGCTTCCCTGAGGTCTGAATTCAGTGGTCCTTCATGTCAAGTTCCCACACATGTCTGGTTTGGTAGGATACTTATTGACTTAAATGACCCTTTTTCAAAAGTATGATTGAGCTGGGTACAGTGGTACATGTGTTTAATCTCAGGACTAGGGAAGCAGAGGCAAGCTGGTCTCTGTGAGTTCCAGGCCAGTCTGGTTGCCACAGGGAGTTCCAGGCCTGCCAGGGCTATACAATGAGGCTCTTGTGTAAAATTAAAAGAATAATAATAATAAAAAAAGATTGGCAGCTTCCCTTCAATGAACACTCACATTCCCTGATTTGTACTAATTATCCCAAAGAAAATAAGTGGAATAAATATGCATTGCAAATAATTTTGTTTCGTGGTAGGACCTCACCCATGTTTACAGATTACCCTTACATATTTTAGAACTTTAATGTTTATTTTTACTTATGTGTGTGTATGTGTCTATGTGAGTATGCCACACGTGTGCTGGCACTTTCAGAGAGCAGAACAGGGGATCAGATTTCTCAGAGTTGGAGTCACAGGCAGCTGTGAGCTGCCCAACTTTGGGGCTGGGAACCAAACTCTGATCCTCTGGAAGAGCAACAAGTACTCTTAGCTGCTGAGCCATCTCTCCAGCCCCAGATCATTTTTGTATCTGCATGACTAGAATAATAAAGGATGCATCTATGTGCGTGTGTTTGGTAAAAGACTGTTTCTAGGAGTTTCAGGTATAGAGAGGACACCTTTTAGTTTGTTCCTGAGGTTTGGTTAGTAAGGGCATACATCCTTCTGATTACTTTAATCTAATTAAATTGGAGAGAGAAGGTGTTATTTCTGGCTGCACTTTGGTTGTTATAAACGTATGTATTTTCCCTTTGCATTTAGTTCGGACTATTTTTTTAACTACTGATAAATACATGTTCATGAAGTACTTTGACTTTTGGAAAAAAGAGGGCGAGTTAAGCTGTTGTTAAAACAATCAAACTCAGCTGGTGGCACATAGCTTTGATCGCAGCACTCGGGAGGCAGAGGCAGGAGGATCTCTGTGAGTTCAAGGCCAACCTGGTCTGCAGAGCAAGTTCCAGGACAACCAGGGCTACACAGAGATCCTGTCTCAAAAAACAAAACAAAACAAAAAAACAGAACTGAAAAACAAACGATAAACAACCAAAGACAAAGGAAAAAAACAACCACAACAATAACAAACTCCATTTTCTATGATGGTTGAAGCCACTGCAAAGCCTTATGGGAGCTTGGGAAGTAGAAGACAGGCTTCTTGAACAGCACATGCAGAGATGCTTGCCTGGAAACCTTTTTTCAACATGGTGTTCAGTTAGAAACTCCATGGGGATGTTTTGGGTGAGAGAATCCTTATATTTTAGCATTTCCTAGCACTTGCCCATATGGCGTGCTCAAGTACCCTCTCTAACCCTGGTGTGAAGATAGACACCACCCTTACATGTTTGGAGGATCCAGGTTGAGAAGTACCGGTTAAATAGATATTTATCTGGAAGAGAAGTCACACTCCTGGCTTCGTTTTGCCTTATTTATGTAGGTGTAGTGCTTCAGATCTCCAACTGGCTTCATCTCCAGGTAGTTTATTCTAAAATGCTGTATGTGCCTTATCTTTCTTGTTTATGAGACAGGGCCTTACATTTTAGCCCAGGCTGGCCTGGAAATCACTATGTAGCCCAGGCTGTCCTCAGACTCACACTGATTCTTCTGCTTCAGCTTCTCAAGTCCTGAGATTATAATTGTGAACTACCAGTCTAGCTTGATGAGTCTTTCCTTGCCTGCTTGCACCGCATACGCTAGCCTTCATACCTCCTCTGTCTGTGAAATTCATCCCCCATGAACCACACATACACATCTCTGTTAAGAATCTACAACATAGTGTAGTGTAGATGATTGTCAGCTACTCATCAGAATGAATTAGAAGTCAGTGTGTTTGGGGCAAGGGCGATGGATCGGTCAATAAGTTACTTGCCACCCAAATTTCGGTGATGGGAAACAGAGACAGGAGGATCCTGAGGTCTTGCTGGCTAGCCAGTCTAGCCAATGGGCGAGCTCTAGGTTCAACGAAAGACTCCATCCCAAAAAACTAAAGTGGAGTGTCCTAGAGGAAGATATCCAATATCAACCCCTGGCTTCCACATGTGCATGTACAGGTGCTCACACCCACACACGCATGCATATACACTTACACAAAACAACAACAACAACAACAACAACAACAACAACAAAGAGATGTTTTTGTCGACTGGAGGGTAATGTTATTAATTATCTACCACTAAGGGATATAAAACGCTAAGCATCACCCTTTTACTATTGAGTCACGTTTCATTAGCTATAATCACTTTAATATCCTTTCTCCCTCTCAGATGGATCCGAACAGAATATCGGAAGACAGCACTCGCTGCATTTATAGAATTCTGAGACTCCATGAGAACCCAGGCTTACAGGACTCGACTCTGGAGAGTGAGGACACGGACGCACTACCTGACTCATGCAGGAGGATGAAACAGGCCTTTCACGGGGCCGTGCAGAAGGTAAGTTCGCCCTGAAGTGGTTAAATCAAGGGTTCTCCCTGCACTGTGGTAGCTGACTAGTAAGACTTGAGAAGCACCGTTGACTCTGTTCTTTTGTTTTAATAAATCGTGAAGGAGCTGATGAGGCTGTCTTAAAGAGAATTCTTTTGAAGTTGGTGGTGGTCAGTTTCTTTCCTTTATTTTTTGCTTTTGGTTCTTGGCTTTTCAAGACAGGGTTTCACTGTGCAGCCCTGGCTGTCCTGGAACTCACTCCATAGACCAGGCTGGCCTTGAACTCACAGCGATCTGCCTGCCTCTGGCCTCTGGAGTGTGCCACCACCACGCCCTGGCTTTTTCCTTTCTTTTTGTTTTTTGTTTTTTTTTTTGGTTTTTCGAGACAGGGTTTCTCTGTGTAGCTTTGCGCCTTTCCTGGTACTCGTTTTGGAGAACAGGCTGGCCTCGAACTCACAGAGATCCGCCTGGCTCTGCCTCCCGAGTGCTGGGATTAAAGGCGTGCGCCACCACCGCCCGGCCGCGACTCAGTCCTTTCTTTTTAAGAGGAGGGATTTGAATGTGTTTATACAAAGAGAATCCAAGTGACTACAGTTTGTAGACGATCACTTTGTTAGTTTGAATCTTTGATCTAAAAAACCACAGTCTAGGTTTTCGGACCTTCTGGTGGCCCGTTCCCCAGCTGCTTCTGAAGGATTCCCTGTTGCATACCTGTGGCCTGGGCTCCCGTGAGGAGCCATGTAACTGGCCCTCTGCCATCAGGCATGGTGAGAGGCAGGTGTGCTGAGCAGGCGTGGTGATAGGTGAGGTGGAAATCGCGTGTCTCCTTTCTCATTTGCTGGGAGAGCTGGGTAATAAGAGAGATGAGACTGGAGAAGCCGGGTGACACCATGCTGTCAGCCTTAGCTGAGAAACACATCTGCCTGGCAGATTCCTGAGTAAAGCCACCTGGGAATTCTGCTGCCTCTGAATTACCATACTTCCTGACTCCACCGAAAACTGGGTAGAAGTCCAGTGCTACATGCTGTGTGTCTACATGTGAACCCCCACCCATTAGCCCTCCCGGCCTCCAGTTCACTACTTCTCATGTTGTCTCATTATCTCAGAGTAACCCGGGCACTCTCAGAGCTGTTGGACCTCGGATTTGTTAAGCTTTACTAATTAACTAGTACAGTTCTAGCTTAGTTCACCAGAGGGAGAGCAGAGATCTAAAACTCTGTCAGCTACAAGTACAGGCGGAAAGAGTAAGTTGTAAAACTAATTAAGGTAAATATAACACTTTCAAGGGGAGGCTTGCTGCATTTTATGCCATTTAAGGGACCGCTGATTTTCGGCTTCCATCACTGTGTCACATCACTAAGACAATATGCTGACCAATGCGGCCATCACCGAATCTACTTGCACCTTAATTTCAGAGACGATCCACCAACGCTGAGTGTCACAGAGTCAGTGAAATAGATGATGTCTGTGGAGCAAGCATGAGAAGGCGTGTTGCTTACAGCAGCTATGATCTGTCTTTGTGAATATATGTCTATATAATTTAATACACTATGAAATCACTTTAACTGAGCACAGTTTGGATTAGGGTTTAAAGGATTTCACCATTGTTAAAAAGTGATAGCATTTCTTGGTCGGGGGATGGAGCTTCATGGTAGGATGATGCATGCTTAGTATGGCTGAGGCTCTGGGTTCAAGTTCAGAATGTAGTAAACTAGCACGGAGACCAGACGAGAAGAATCAGCTGCTTGTATTAAAGGTTACCAGGTATGGTGGCTCATGTCTGTAATCCCAAACCGAGGCTGGGGGATTGTGAGTTTGAGGTTAACGTGAGCTACATAGTGAGATACTCCCTCTGAGAGGAAGAGAGGAGGGGAAGGAGGGAGAGAGAGCCTAGGTTTTTCTATTAACAGATAATTATGGGTTCTCAAGAGGAGTGGGGCTTTATTTCATTAATTTTGTGCTTTACTTGTTATGCTATAGGAGTTTACATTTTAGAAAACATGGGCAATTTATAAAAGCCTTTTAAAAGCTCAGTGAACTATTGCAATAAGCCAGTGTACATTGGTATAATATACACATTATTGTAACACCCAATGTGTGCGAGGGGGGAAGATTCTAGCTCCTCCTAGGCCTGATCTTTAGGCAGGAGATGAATGTTACCCAAACCTTATCATTACAGTTAACCAGCATCCATATGGTGTAACTGTGGACCTAGGCCTTTCGCCATACCTTTTTTTTTCTTAGACCCAATAATTTACTCCTTTATCCCAGTCAAATGAATGGTCTTCCAAATGTATTATCCTTTGATGAAAATCATTGGTTAATGTGACGTCCGTGATATTTGCCAGAGTAGTCAGATTTCTAATTTGTCTTGGGGTTGATAAAAATAGGATGGGTGTTGTAGGCATTCTGGAAGTCGATTTCCATCTTAACTTGAGTTCTAACAGATTTTGAGCGAACCCATAAGACAGTTCATGTGTAGCTGCGACCGGTATTGAGAGATCAGCTCCTGCAGTGGTAGCACATACCAGACAGGAGTGTAATATCACATTATAGGCGTGCAGAGAGTGGTGTTTACCCAGCTCATTGTGGTCAGACAAGTAATCTTGTTTTTCCCTCCTTTTTTTTTGTTTGTGGCTAGGGTTTTCTTGGCTTTTTTTCCCCTTTAGCACAGAACTCTGAAAGCCTCCTACTGGTCCAACTCTACCAACCGCAATTTATAAAGTCTATCATAACAGTCTATGACAATAAAAAAAAAAAAAAAACTAGTACAAATGTGGTGTCTGACTCGTAAAAGGATGCCTGTTTTCAATTTTGGCAGCCTTGCTGGGCTCTGCCTAGCTAGCCAGGCTTGGGCAAAGTGGTGAGTTCAGGGCTTACCCAGGATTGCTGTGCGTGGCAGTCAGGGCACTCACCCTAAACCTTCTGTCTGAACTCCGTGGATAGACATGCATCACGTTAATATCGTGAGCCCACAGGGCTGTGACTCTATCTGCCTTCAGTGTGCCGGCTTGTTGATTTCACACTGGGGCCTATTTTATAGAAAAAAAATTGTCCAAAATTTGTCTGTCAAAGTATTTAGATGAATGATATCAAAGGAAGAAATCAATAGATGTCACCTTGCTGTCTGTCACAATGAGGTACTCTGTGCCTTGAAGCGGGTATGAAGCAGCAAGAGGACATATGGTTGCCTTCTTTCTTCCTTCCTTCCTTCCTTCCTTCCTTCCTTCCTTCCTTCCTTCCTTCCTTCCTTTCTTTCCTTATTTGCTTATTTATTTATTTAATCTATATGGGTCTTTTGCCTTCATGTACATATGTCTGTGTACCACATGTGTGCCTGGTACTCTCAGAGGCCAGAGGAAGGAGCCAGATCCCCTGGAACTGAAGTTATGAGCAGCCAGGTGGGTGCAGGGAATTGCACTCAGATCCTCTGGGAGGGCAGTCAGTGTTCTTAACCACTGAGCCATCTCTCTAGGCCCTGTACTTGTTTTCATAATGGCTTTTAAAAGCTAGACTTTAGATTATGAATTGTGTATATGTGTGTGTGCCTGTGCACATGCGTGTGCGCGTGCATGTGCGTGCGTGTGGTGTGTGTGTAAGCACACTCACCCCTGCCTGTGTGTATAGAGGCTACAGAGGTTGACGTCAGGCATCTTCCTCTATTGAGCTCCACCTTGGTTTTTTGAGACAGAGTGTCTCATATAATGTGGAGCCTGCTCGTTTGGTGAGACTGGCTGGTGAGTGAGCCCCCAGGCTCTGTCTGGCCCTTCTCCCAAGCCCTGGGGTTGTAGATGGGCATTGCCAGGCTTTCATGTGGGCTCTAGGGCTCCTAACCCAGGCCTTCATGCTTGTTCATCAAACAGTTCTCCACTGAGTCTCTCCAGACCCGAATTATAAATATTTTTTAATGTGTATGATATACAAGACTGCTTTTATTTAATATTTATGTATTTTTTATATCTTATTGGAGAGCATTACAATTTTTCCCTTGGTAGGGCTTGAGAGATGGCTGTGTTGGTAAAGTGTTTGGAAGACCTGAGTTCACATTTTTTTTCATTTACAGTTTTTTTTTATTTTATAATTTAATTTAATTTTACATATCAGCCACGGATTCCCTTGTTCTCCCCACTCTGTAGACTAAGATCCTTGAGTGAAATGGGGTATCATCAACCAATTTCTAAATCCATTCAGGAATGTTATAAGGGTGGTTCTTTCTCATCTGGTATGGCAGATATGTGCTTGGTGGTCATGAATGGCCGCTGTGGACAATATGCCCCAGTGCCAGAACGATCGGGTACATTTTGTGAGGTAGTGTCTCTAGCTAGACTTCTCACTTCTGTCCCATGTCTTGTGGAACTGTTTGCTTCTTCACAGCCTGGTCTCTCTGTAGATGGAGACCCAGAATGTGTACTGGAAACTTGACTCTGGTTTCTTCTCTAAGTGCAATTGTGTAAAACTCTTCGATTCCATTACCAAATATGAAAATCCAATGATAAGAACTGTAGCGATAGCTCCATGGTTAAGAGCACTTGCTGCTCTTGCAGAGGACCTGGGTTCAGTTCCCAGCACTCATACTTTGGTTCCCAACCATCTGTAACACCTGATGTCCTCTTCTGACCTTTGTGAGCACTGTACACATGTGGTGCACATACATTCATGCAGGCAAAATGTTCATACAGTCAAATAAATAACTCTAGAAACAAACAAACACCAACCAACCCAATGATGTCAATGGCAATCAAGCTGTCTTCTTTACAGACATCTGATCCTCTAATGCAATGGTTCTCAACCTGTGGGCCATGACCCCCTGGGGGGGTCACATATCAAATATCCTGTGTATCAGATATTTACATTACAATTCATAACAGTAGTAAACTTACAGTAATGAAGTAGCAACAAAATAATTTTATGGATGGGGGTCCCCACAACATGAGGAACTATATTAAAAGTTCACAGCATTAGGAAGGTTGAGAACCCCTGCTCTAATGCTGTACTGGAGAAGTAGGGTA